GTCACCCAAAATTTTCACGACTCTGTCTCTTAGCATGAACTTCATCACCTGTGTTTTCCAATCCACTGTTGTCTCCCTCAAAGTTTCCAACCATGCCACACCCAAAACCACATATGCACTATTCATCTCAAATGGAAATTTTTTTTGTATAATCAGAGTTCCTTGGATGTCTAACTGTACCTCCCTACATTCTCCCTCACATCACACTCAATATCCGTCACCCACTTGTACCCCGAAGGTCTGCGTTTGCATCACTAGTAATCCCAACTCCTCGATCACACCCTTGCTAATAAAATTATGCGATGCTCCACTGTCAATCAACACTATCACTTCAACCCCTCTGATTTTACCCTTTTCCTTCATAGTTTTCGGACTTGGGATTCCTACCACTGAACTAATCGAGAGGTCAGCGTCATTTGGTAGTTGCTCATCCACGGTTTTACTCAAATCTCCCCCAATGTCATTTGTCTCATCCTGACTCTCGTCCTCCTCAATCAAAATGATGTGGAACTGCTTGTCCTCATACCGATGGCCTGGAAAAAATTTTGCGTCACACCTGAAACAAACCCCACTCGTCTTCTTCCTCTGGATCCCAAGTTCTGTGATCTGTTTGAAAGGAAAATCTTTCCTGAAAACTAAACTGCTCAGTAGGCGTTAGACGGAACTGTTGCTGCCACGTTGACTATCATTTGGAGTAACATGGCTGGGTTGTTCGTTCCATTGGCGGCCTGATTATGCAAAGAAATTTTGGTGTTGGATGGAGTTTGAATTTACGCTACCTGAAGGTACCAGCGGGTTAGAGTTGTGTGAAAATTTTGACCCATTTTCCTGCTGCCCAAAGTTTTTACCCGGTCCACCACTATAGTCCCAATTCATTCTATTAATTCCACTACCCACACTAGACCTTACACCCTTGTTTAACCCATGTTTTAACTCTTCCAAGGCCTAATTTTTTTCTTCTATCTTCTGGGCCAATTCAATTAGCTGGATTATGGAAGTGGGCTGGCCCAATCTAATTTCAGCTTTTATTTTTGGTTTTAGCCCGTTTAGAAAAGCAGCCCATAGCAAGTCTTCTTTCTCATCTCTCAATGGCGCAGACAGAGCTTCAAACTTGCGGCGGTAGTCCTCCACTGTCCCAGTCTGTCGGATTCCTATCAACGCTTCATGTGGACCACCACCTTGGGATCCTCCAAACCGATAAAGTAGAGGGAGTTTAAACGCTGGCCAAGACGTGACTAGAGCGTGGATTTCCATCCATTGAAACCGGTTTATTGCGTCTCCCTCCATACATATAGCCACTGTGTTCAGCCTCTCCTCCTCTGCTACATGATACACGTTGAAGTACCGCTCCATTCTAAACAACCACCCGTAAGGATCCTTTCCGATGAATACTGGCATCTCGATTTTCCGACCAGCGTATTCTGGACGACGTCGGCTAGCTATTACGTTTTCGTCGTTCGTATTTGTGTTAGGGTCCCAATTCTCCTCCTTCCCGTTGCTAGTAGTGTTCACCGGGGTTTTTGTCGAACCACCCCTTTCAGCTCTTCTAGCTAGGGGTGGGTTAATCTGGTTAACCGAACCGGATTATCAACACCAAAAATCGAACCAGTTTTTTGGTTTGGAGAAAATCCAAACTGAAAACCAGACCGGTTTCTGTTAAAAACCGAACGTAAATCGAATAGAATATTTGGTTCGGTTACCGATTAATCGGTTTTCAAACCGGTTTTTAAATTAATCTTTAATCCTTAAAATTCTTCAATGTTTCATTTAAGTGCCAAATTTCTTCCTTTTCACACATTTTTCTACAAACAATATGTTGAGGTGATATACAGTTGCTTGAAAATTCTTGAGTTTCCTCTTAATTTAAACATGAGAATTAACCTTTTGTTGTCAGTAAATCTTCTTTGTGAATAATCTCATAAGTGTCGGCATTAAACATATAATATGAAATGTTCACTAAAAGCAGTAGTGTGTACCTGATTTTAGTCTAATGTTGTAACTTTGAGTTACTATTTGCTTGCCATCAACAATCATCCCAACAATTAATCAAAGAAAAATTGGAGAGTGATCTTTAATCCTTAACAATCATCCCAACAATTAACCCTTAATAATCTAATTTTAGTCTAATGTTGTAACTTTGAGTTACTATTTGCTTGCCATCAACAATCATCCCAACAATTAATCAAAGAAAAATTAACGAAACAAATTCAAAGAACTGAAAAGATAAACTTCAGCTAGCATCCAAGATACCCTGACTTTCGTACAACAAACTTAAACAAACAAAGACACAAATAAAGCACACTAAAACAAACCTAGAAAGCAAAACAAGATTAACAAAATAACAAACCCAGAAAGCAAAACAAGATTAGTAAAATAAGTTGTGGACTGTCTCTTCAGGGTGGGTCTGCTTACGATGGAGTCTCTTTAGGGTGGCGTGATTGGAGAGTGATCTGTGGACTGTGAAGAACTAAAGATTGCCAGATCAGAGCTTTCAACGCGGCTAGTGACGGCGGAGGAGCAGTTGAGGCAGATGAAGTTGCGGAGGAAGGAGGACTCGAAGGCGAATGCGAGGGTGGTGGAGATCTTTGCTACCCACAAGAACATGTGGCAGGTGGAGGAGAGGCGGCTGCTACAACAGATCGACGCCGCGAATGAGGAGATGGCGAATTTGAGATCGAAGATTGAGGAAATAGAGAGGGAGAAGGCGGAATCGAAGAGGAGAGTAGAGGAACTTGAGGAGATGATTGGGTTTATGTCTAGAAGAGGAGGGTGCGAGTTTGAAGAAGAAGAGGATCAATTTGGTGGGTGTAGACTGTGGAAGACTGGAACTGCCGAACTGGAACTTTGGAAGTGACGAAGTGTGGAGAATGGAGACTTTAGTCTTTAGATTTGGAGGAGGAGAAAGACGAACTGTGAAGAGAAAATAGAGAGGAGTGTTAAAATTTCTTTTGCTTTTATATTTAGGGTAAAATCGGTTTAAAAACTGGTTTTCAGTTAATCGGATTGAAATATTTTCAAACCAAACCTGTTTTTCGGTTTTTTGTATTTTACAAACCGAAAACCGAACCAGTTTTTTTAAAAAAAAAAACCTAATTTTCGGCTCGATTTTCGGATTATTTATCCCACCCCTACTTCTAGCTTCTTCTTTATCCTTACTTCTAATCCAAGCTTGGATTTCCAACAAACAATCTCTCATTGTTCCCATGTCTTTCTCCCCAACATCTAATCTATTTTCCATCCTTGTTCCATCCTTGTTCCAACCATTCCCCAATCGTCACTACGCTCTGATACCAACTTGTTAGAACCCCTCTGTTATTCCTACCTGCAGAAAACACTCATGCACTACAATTTCTAGAATTCATAATCACTGCCACAACACACAAGCACACTCAACCAAACATTTTGAAATTGTTCTGTATTATTAGTAATATTTAGAAAGTACCAGTACAATCTCATAAGATTAACAAGTACAAGAAGAAGAATGAATAGTGAATGACAATAAGCAGATTCCCAAGAACAAATTAAGAAGTAAAAAATAGGAAGGAGAATCAGCTGGCTTCGAGGGCCAATACCTCCCCAACCCAATTCCCTTCTTCTTTTTCAATCCCCAAAAATATTCTCTGTCAACCCATTTTACACCCAACTCTCACTCTAACAGAATTATTCCAAATCCAATCCACGGATGCCACCTGTCCCATGCTTATTGAGTAGAAAAATTGCCATTTTATCCTCTCTGCCCACTCTTTTTCCTTCTGCTGAAAACGTGCACCAGTGGAGTCTCATAAAATAAAAAACACCAGTTCAATCATCAACAAGGTACACAAAGTATAATCCACAAAATGAACAACAACTGACAATAAGCAAATTGACAATAAGAGAAAATAAAGGAAAAAGATAACCAAGGATAACCAGCTGGCTTCAAGGGCCAGTACCTCCCCAACCCAAATTCCCTTTTACTTTTTCAATATCCCCCAACATTCCCTGTCAACCCTTTTTATGCACAAATCCCACTCTAACAGAATTTCTTTAAACCCAATCTGTAGATGCCACCTGTCCATTGCTTTATGCGCGGTAAAATGCTATTTATCCGCTATTCACTCTCTTATTCTTTCTGCTGAAGACGTGCATTAAAGGGATCTCATCAGTTTCTGATCCTTCAATATCATTTGTTGATCTTTTAGCACCCAAAATTCTGTTAAAAATTCTGTATTACAACTGATTTACTTCCAATGCTTTTCTTCAGAAGAATTCTGCTTTCTTTGTTATGGGTACTGAAAATGACCCTTTCTTTATATGTTGACACATCTTTCTTTGCAATGTAACATTAACTTTTTCATTACATTTCCAGTTCTCCCGCCATGAAAGTATGAAACAGGAGTGACTCATGTCTTAAGTCACTGGAGGTGCTGGCTATATAGGTTCTCATGCGGGCGCTTCGACTCCTCAAAGATTCATACCGTAAAACTATAGTGGTATATTTCATTCTGAAAGAGGCTTTCTCAGTCATTAAAAACAATTTAAATAAAAATGTCACTATGTAGCATTAATTTGAAAACTCCTGCTTAATGCAACAGGATAATCTTTCCAGAGGCAATATGGGTGCTGTTAAAATTCTCCAGAAGCTATTTGCAGAGCCCGGACGTCTTCAGTTCATCTATGCTGATCTTGGAGATGCGAAATCGGTACTAAACAACATTAATCTACAATGCTTGTTAATGCTTGGTGCACGTACACAAAACTGCATAGAGATATATATTTGACTTTTTTTTCTTTAAGAAATATTTCAGGTTAACAAAATCTTTGCAGAAAATGCGTTTGATGCTGTGATCCATTTTGCAGCTGTTGCTTATGTTGCGAAAGTACACTTGAACCTCTTAGGTATTAATTCGATTAAAGTGATGCAATTCTCTGAACCGACTCTTTGAAGATTTCAGGTCATTAAATTTCATAGGAAATTTTATCTGCAGCTACTATCATAATATAACATCAAACACCTTGGTAGTTTTGGAGGCAATGGCAGCACGTCATGTGAACACACTGATATATTCTAGTACTTGTGCAACTTATGGAGAGCCTCTGAAGATACCTATCACAGAACAAACTCCTCAAGTGAGATTTCTTCATACATTTTCCTTGTATATATTTCAGTTTACAAGTTAAAGACTTTGTTAAAAAAAAAAAAAAAAAAAAAAATGACCTTACAGCTAAATCTGACAAGTTTCTGTATTTCTCATCAATTTGTCAATGCAGATGCCCATCAATCCATATGGAAAAGCCAAGCAAATGTCAGAAGATATCATAATTGACTTCTCCAAAACCACCAACATGGCTGTCATGACACTAAGGTTGGCGATGCTATGATTTTCTATTGTCTTTCTATTGTTCAGTACCATAATTGCCTCATCATAAAAGACACATATATACATATATAGGAAGGGACTGACTTTTTGTACATATACTATAATTTCAGATACTTTAATGTGATTGGATCAGACCCAGAAGGAAGACAAGTAGAAGCTCCTCATGCTGAGCTAAGAGAGCATGGCCATCGGGTGCTTGTTTCGGTGCAGCTCGAGGGATAATTCCTGGACTCAAGGTTAGAGGAACTGACTATAAAACAGCTGATGGGACTTGTATAAGGGACTACATTGATGTCACCGACTTGGTTGATGCTCATGTGCTTGCTCTTGCCAATGCAAAACCTGGGAAACTTGGAATCTATAATGTTGGCACAGGAAAAGCCACTTCACACTCATCTATTTAATAAGTCCTTTAATTTCTGATCCAAAACTTATTTTAAAACAGATGCATTGTTTGGATGAATTGCAGGAAGATCAGTGAAGGAATTTGTGGAGACCTGTAAGAAGGCTACAGGGGCGGATCTAAAGGTTGAATATCTGAGCCGCTGGCCTGGGGATTATGCAGAAGTACATAGTGATCCAAAAAAAATAAGGTGTGAGCTGAATTGGATAGCCAGGTGTAAAGACCTTGAAGAGAGTTTAAAAATCGCATGGAGATGGCAGAAGTCACAATGAATGGCTATGGTCCTTCCTCGGCCACAGATTAACCGCTATATAGCAGAGTTCATTGTAGTAGTCTTGGTAGATTATTAGGCAGGTCTACCAAAAAGCAGATGTTTTAAGCTAGTATATGAAAACTTATCCACTATTATTTATGAATATGTAATAGTTCTGGAATCAGATAAAATTTAAAAATACCAACAAATATATACACTTGCAAAGATTTGACAAGTACATTTTGTATGCCCCAATAAGCGGGACCCTAATAGTACACAAATAACTGAAACGACAATACTCTATTCCTAGTACATTACAATACAATGTCAATCATAGAGTAGATTTTCAGCTCCAGAGATCTGACCTGTGCTTCTAATCTGTGCGGCTAAAGTCTTCAATGTACTGCAAATTTCTGCTGTTCTAGAGTGTGTTGGATCATCAGAGAGAAAAGTAAGTATCTGATTTCTAATTTCAATCCAGCTGTATCCTGGTTGTTTCTCTGTCTCACTCCCTTCCATTAACTCCCTCACTTTCTCAACCTCATCCCATCTGCCTGCCTCAGCATGCATGTTTGACAAGAGTGCATAATGTGAAGTTTTCTGAGGTTCAAGTTCCAAAAGCTTCTCCGCAGCAATCTTACCAAGCTCTAGGTTTCGATATGTTCGGCACGCGCCCAGTAGCGTACCCCATATTCCAGCATTTGGTTTCATCTTCATTCCACTCACCATGTCAAAGGCTTCATGTAATCTCCCAGTGCGGCCTAGCAAATCAACCAAGCATGCATAGTGTTCTACCAGAGGTTCTATACCATACACTTCAGTCATGCATTTAAAAAGTTTTAAGCCCTCATCAACAAGGCCAACATGACTACATGCAGAAAAAACCCCAATGAAGGTAACCTGATCAGCAGCCACCTCTTCCATTACCATCTCTTCGAAAAGTTTGACTGCCTCTTTCCCATACCCATTAAAGGCATATCCAGCAATCAAAGAATTCCAAGAAACTACATCAACTTGATCAATATCTTTGAATAAGAGTTCAGCGTTGGGGATTCTTCCGCATTTAGCATACATGGTGATTAAGGAATTGCCAACAAACAAATCGTTCATGTATCCACTCTTAATAACAAGATGGTGAATTTGCTCCCCAACTTGCAGAGCTGCAAGATGGGCACATGCACTTAGTACACAAGCAAAAGTTGAGTGGTCAGGTTTTTTCAGTTCTCGGCCCATCAAAACAAAACTCTTTATTGCATCCAAAAACAACCCATTTTGCAGAAAACCAGCAATTAATGAATTCCAAGAAACTATATTCCTGTTCCCCATCCCTTCAAAGATCTTAAGTGCATTATTCATATCTCCAATTTGAGCATAACCAGCAATCATGGTATTCCAAGTAACTATGTCCTTATTGACCATTTGTTTAAATAAATTAAGAGCTTCATCCATTTTGCCACACTGAGCATAGCCAGCAATCATGGTGTTCCAACAAACAACATCACGGGTGCCAATCTTTTTGAAAATTTGACTAGCTTCATCCATTCTTTTAGTATGTACATATCCAGAGATCATCGCAGTTTGAGCTACAATATTATTTTAAGGCATCTGATCAAGGCATTCTCTGGCTTTGTCAAGCTTACCAACACGAACATACCCATCAATCATTGTTGTCCATGAGACAGGATCCCTCCCCGGCATTTCCATAAAGAGCTTAGCAGCCTCATCTATTTGGAAGCTCTGAACATAACCTCCAATCATAGCATTCCAAGAAACAACATTTCTACTAGGCATCTTGTCAAATAGTCTCCTAGCCTCCAAGATATTACCACTTCGTGCATATCCACATATCATTGTCACCCAAGAAACAGCATGGGGGTTTGGAATTTTTTGAAAGAACTTCCAAGCAGAATCCAAATCATCCACTTTCACAAATCCATCCAACATTAAGTTCCACGAAACCATATTACGTTCTTCCATTTCTTCAAAAAACTTCATAGCCAATGACATTTCCCCATTCTTGGCATATCCTGAAAGCATTGAATTCCAGGAAACAATATTCTTAGCAGGCATTGCATCAAATAACTTCTTAGCATCATCAAACTTCCTTTTCTTGGCATAACCTGAAATCATTGCATTCCAACAAGCCACATCTCCCTTATTTGGAAGCAAATCAAATAGTTCCCTCGCCTTTTCAAGTTCGCCATTGCGTGTGTAACAAGTAATCATTAAAGACCAAGAAAAGAGATCTCTTGTGGACATTTTGTCGAAGAGTTCACGGGCTATCTCAACTCTATCATTATGCAAACACGCAGCAATCATTGTGTTCCAAGAAACCAAGTTTTTGCGAGGCATTTTCTCAAACAGTTGAAATGCATCACTAATTCGGCCATTACGAGCAAAGGCAGAGATCATTGAATTGTAAGTTACGGTATTCTTCTGGGTCATTTCTGAGAATACTTTGATAGCTTGTTCAATCCGACCCGACTTCCCCAACTGAGTAATTCTCAGGTTCTGGTTAAAGACATGACCACCTCGTTCTCCAATTGATTGGAGCCTTTGCTTCATGGCTTACAACCATTCTACAAACTTTCCCACATCAATGAGTTTTCAAAACAGTGTTCCTGGTTCGTTCTGCAGCCTTGGGCCGTCTTTAAAAATTTTAAAGCAAAAAGGAAATTTTAAAGAAAGGGGGACATTCGTTTCGAGGACCAATATATATATATATATATATATATAGATATAGATATACACACATTAACTTTTGTCTAGGTGGTAGACGGTAGTTGTTGTCAGACTTCTTCATCCTTGAATTGATCAAATACTGGATGGGGTATGGCCGTATGGGGATCTTTGTGGAGACCTTGTCTCCGAATAATAATAAATAAAAAAATTTATTTATCTTAATTTGATATTTTATAATTTTGAAAGTGTATTTTATTTAATAATAAAAACTAATAATTAATTCTGTATTGAACTACTCATCTTAAGGATATAATTGATATTGTAATTACAAAAAGCTTTTATGAGAATTAATTTACTATAAATGTATAATATTAGAATGATAAAAATTTTAATCATAATTCAATGATTGTTTTTAATACAATATTAGAATGACGATTCCTATTACACTGAAGCTCGCATTTTTTTTTCCCCCCATAAACCGTAATGCCGGAGTAGGACTCTTTAAATAACATTTTTAATACGAAATTAAAAGGAAAAAAGGTATATATTATAAATAAGATGATACATAGTCTCACTCAAACAACAAAATTCCTATAAGATTGGCATAAAAATTATCAAAACTTTTTTGGGGGACAGATTGAATAAGTGCCCCTTAGTAACACAGTTTTTGTATAATAAGCATCCTAATTATCAATACGCAAAATGTCCTGCAAGGCTGCCACATACTCTTTCAACTACTGCATGCCGAACAACCGGGCAGACCTACCCGTATATTCTAAAAGAGAAGGTGGATAATCAGTTATGAATCAGTGGGAAATTCGAATTTGATTTGATCATAGCTCATCGTGCACCTCAGATTCAGAGTCAACCTTCTTCTCACTTGATGAGCCATCTGATTCCGCAGTGTCTGAGGTTTTCTCCTCAGAAGGTGAGCTGGAATCTGAAGCTGGTTTCTCGGTTTGGGAGGTTTTCTCCTCAGACGTCGAGTTGGAATCTTTTCCGTCCTCACCGCTGCTCTCAGTTTCATTCTTCACAGGCTTCTTCTCAACTTTAGGCTTTGGCTTTGGAATTCTTTTAATGCTGGAAACCTATAAAAATAGATTCAAATACCAAATATAATATATTGTTATATGAACATTCATGCATAACACTTGCAAATCATGAGAAAATTAACAAAGTCGATCAACAAAGAGCTTGCAAGAATACCTTATCTTGCAAATTAAATATTTTATCATATACTTCTTCCGAGGTGAAAGCTGGTTTGCTGAATCCAGATGTCCTGCAGTATTAAAGAGAAAAATTAGAGACAAGCATCAACACCAGTAACATTAAAGATCACCAGCACAGACTTGAAAGCACAGGTTTTTATCTTTGATCGTATTTCCCCTTTGGGTCAATCAGCCCAAAAATCTCAGAAACAACCATTTTAGCATTAATTCATAAGAGCAGACATTCAACAAGACCAACTAAAAATTCAATAGAAATTAAAAAAAAAAAAACTTCTTGAATTAAGTTTTCATAAAGGACCAAACAAAGTCATGAATTAAGTACTGGTTTTTCGAAATTAATATGCATATTTAAATGGTTAATCAAAGTCAGATAATCCATAAGAGAATGGCAGAATCAAATACTAAAGTATCTTTTAAAAAACACATCATAATAGTTTACTGCCAACCTTGAGGAAAGACCTTGCCTATTCTATATTACATGTTAGAAAAACGGCATAAGCACAAAAATCTATTTATTCGCAGAAGCTTAAGTTTGATTAATTATAGCAATGAATCCAACTTACTTCTTCTGCTCATTCTCCTTCTCATCCAACCAACTCTTAAACTTGTCAGCATCTTTCAAAACCTGGAAAAAAAAACCTCAAATGAACAAACAAAAATGCAAGCCACAGAGAAGCTGAGTCAGATTACACACAAACAAATATGAAATACCTCATCTATTCTATCTTTTGGAAGCCAAGGCTTGTTTGTCTCCCAGTCATGAACAATCTGCAGATGTTCAAAAGGAATAAATTAATACACATGTACTATTCATTTCTCTTCAAACTAATCAAAACCAAAAAGCAAATATGAAATATACTGGAAAGGACTGCATTATTTTAGCCTATTGAAATTTGAAACCCTTTTAGAATTGTTTATATGTAAAAGCAACATATATGCAAACAAAAAGAACAAGTAAAAACTGTGTAAACATGAAAGAAACCTTATTTCTTTTAGAATAATAACTAATGTATTGAAAAAAAGGAAAGTACGAAGATTGACCAAGCTTCTATATAACCGGAGGAGATTAACAAGAGCGCTCGCAGAACATGGTTCAAGTCATTAAAAAACTTTGGCTTCTAAGCTTGTTGCAACCAAATTATAAAAAGTACCTGTTGCACTTCCCCAAGATATTTTCGAGCATATTCAACAGCTGCTGGTCTTGCAGTAAGCTCTTTAAATCTGAACCACAAAATATATCAGTTGGAACTTTTAGTTTAGCTAGCAATGGGCTTTAACATATTACAGAGGTTTAAAAAAAAAAAGAGATATACTTAATTTGACTCAGCATATCTCAACCTAAATTACACTAAATATAGGACATACCGGAAAAATATAGGGTCACCAACAGCTTTCAACGAATCTAGGCGTTCCTCAAACTCCTTAGCAGTAGCATCTTCACCATCCATATAAAGCCAATCTTGCACCTGGACACAATACATAATACTCATGTCAAATAAAGATTTAATTGAGCTAAATAAAAACCTTTTTAAGACCACAAAACTGGTTGGAAATGGTGGCTAACCTCATCAAGTTTTACGATAAAGGTTTGCCGCTCTTCACCAGTAGAAATTTTCTCAAACTCAGTTGTTTCAAGCTGGTATAGTCAACAATTTTATCAACAAGAAACCAAAATAATATAATGCAAAACCATAATACATAATTCAAAAACAATTCCAAGCCCAGAAAAAAGCAAAAAAAGGCAAAAGAATACTACATAATTTTCTTGCCTAGATATACAAGATAGAAAAGGGAATGAAAGAACAATTATGAGAAGCAAAAAATTCAATCTACCTTAAATGTTAATATTCGGTTGGAGCTTAATAATGAACATCAGAAAAATTATGAAACCTTAACTGGATAACAATGGATGAAAAGACCAGTAACATTCAAGACCAACAATGAATAGTAGGTTCAATTTAGCAAGGAATTCAAACCTTTTCTTTAGTTGCATATATGTAACTTTCTAAATTATTTTTTAGCTCTGCAGTTCTTCTTCGCTCTGCATCCTTCTTATCCAATGCTTCTAATTTAGCTTTAGCTTCAGCAAGAGCTTCTTTCGAAAAAGACATTCCAGGTCCTGCTGTCTTCTCCACTATCTACAACCAACCAAAAATAGAATTTGGAAGTAAGAAAGACCACGAATTTGATAACAGAAAGATTTCCTATAATTGAATCGCATGTGAACTATAATGTGAGAGCACGTTTAAAACAGTCAACTTGTATGCCACCTTCAAAGGTATCCGGAAAGTCCTCTTCTTCAATTTTTTTTCTGTAGGTTGATCAATAATATTTGGTTCTTCGACAGTGGAGTTAGATGAATTAATAGGATCACCATCAGAATGCAAGTTCTCATTGCTTCCTTCAGAAGAGTTTTCAGCCCCTGTTTCAAGTGAAATGTTGGGAGAAGAAGTTGCATTCTCCACAGTCAGATTCTTTTTAGGAACTTCCACCCATTCTGTGATTTCAATAACAGCATCTGCTCGATCCAAAGAAAGAATTCCACTTCTACTGAGAGAGAAATGCAGATTTGCCTTGATGGGAGAGGACAAATTTCGAGATGAATACCTAAACAGCAACAGGCAACAGACAACAAAATTCATATTAGACTTCAGATGAAGCTTTTTCAGGGAAAATTAATTTTTTTTGGCATTAATTAAAAGCAAACAAAAAGGATTAAGGAAATTGCTATCCTTACTTCTCAGTAGTATCTGTCAAACCAGACACATCATACTTCGCAAACACTGGAGAGATAACACCAGGGGGTAAAAGATCATCACTTTCATATGCAAGTGAAACTTCAAAATCTTTGTTATGGATAATGGATCTGAACATCTGCAAATAATACCACAATGCAAATAAATGGAGTTAAAGTCTCAAATTACTTCTCTAATTTCACCACCTCATGTAATCATATATGATTGTAGTTACCTTACTGGGAAGTTTCTTCATCCGTTGCACAAGTGACTGCCGAGTATTGTCATCTTTCACAAGATCAGGTCCATCCAGTTCAACCACAAAACCATAGGAAGAACCATCAAGCATTCCTAGTTTGCGATTCAGTTTGATTCCATCACTTAAATTTGCAGCATGCAGAGATGCACCAAGAACTATAGCTTCATCAGCATCAAGATGCCTGTCTAGCTCTGTCCTTCCCAGATATTCTTGAAGCTTAGCCTGTCAGAAGGAAAAAGTTATACTTTATTTTCATGTTCATCCTTTATTTAAAAAATCCCCCGTCTTTTTGAGCTCTTTAGTCTTTAGGAAAATAAAACTTGATTTATTAATTAAATATTGCTCGTGCAGAGGCACTTAAGCTTTTTGCCCATATATGTAGTGTTTGCTGTTTAATGGACTATATAGCATCATCTCTTGAAAATAATCATGATTGCAATAACAACATAATGGAGAAAAGGTCGTGTCTAATTAACGTGCCCTGAGAAATTCAGAAAGCAACAAAGGGTAAATTGTCAATTACTATGAGGGCTTAAGCAATAAATTTTAAAATAAAATGGTCCTCAGTAAATTCCATGATTACTGAATATAAAATGAGCTCGCCATCAGGCTTCACATTCAAAACAAAAGGTCTGTGTAGAATAAGAACTTGTGCAGATGTATGAATCACAAAAAAAACTACAAAGACTAAACAGCATCATCAAATGAGACATCTCTACACTGTTCAAATAGATGTTTCTGACTCAGGCTTTATAACAAAAAGTATTAAAAAATAAAATGCAGATAGCAAACCTGCAACTTTGGCACTCTAGTCGCTCCTCCAATCAACTCTACAGCATATATCTCATCAACTTTTAAGCCTGAATGCTTAAGCACTTCCTTTAGAGGTGTAAGAGACTTCTCCCAAAGATCCTCGCAGAGCTCTTCAAATTTGTCACGTGTTATGGTGCTCCTGGAAGCGAAAAAATCACATAATAAACACTTTGTCATGCTCCACAGACCCACAACCAACCAATTTAAAGAGATTAAAAATTTCAATGACAAACTTTGAATCAACACAAAAAGTGATTTATTTTCTTAAACTACACTGACCTGAAGTCCCGATCATCATAGAGAGATTCAACTGATATAGGTGCTGCTGTGTTCGCACTAAGAATTTCCTTTGTACGTTTCACCTGTTTCTTTAATTTAGCCATTGCCTTCGGAGACTTCCTGACATCAACACCATTTCCAACTTGTTTATTGAACTCATCTGCAAAGTACTCCACCAAGCGTAATTCCATATTCTGACCTCCAAGTTCTGGATCCCATCTAACATCCTTTACCTGCAAAATTATGAAGAATCAACCAACATTATAAAAGTACTAAGATTATGCAAGAAACTAATCATAAGTGACACAAAAACTGCATAAAGAACAAGGACAAAACTGGGAAAATAATGACACTTATGACCGGTCAAAAGTATGTACATACTAAACAAATGGTAAATAGAATAGGAAATAACCCAATACCCAACGGCAAGTATTCCTTGTGTAAACCAGAAGCACCGTAAAAGCAAAGCCTATATAACCAATGTCATCTCCACAACAAAGCATTTCCAACACAGAACACAGTCACATCTCTAGTGCCTCAAAGACAATGTTTTGACCTAATGTAGCTCAAATTTCATTGAGTTGTTTATTTCTACTGTGTTCATTTACCATGTCTCAGTAGCCAAATCACAATTAGATCTTTTATACAGAGCAAAACATCCAGCTTTCTAACACTATATCACTAAACAGAATTCATTAGCATACTATATAAATCTGCGCAAATGTTTATATAAATTAAAATATAGCAACTCACCTGAAACTGATTGACTGATGCAGTCTTGCCAAACTCCTTGGCTTTATAAGCTGAAAAATACACCAGTGCAGCATAAGTAGTGGTAGCTCCCATATCATAAAATATAACATGCCTGGAACCATTAGAAAAATCCTTATCAATCCCATACTGCAATGCCGCACCAGAATGCTCATTAACCAAAGCAAGCACATTAATCCCAGCCAATTCCGCCGCCTGTAACAATCCCTTCCTCTCAACCTGCCCAAAATACGGCGGCACAGAAATAACAGAATCTTTCACAAACACCTTCGAATGAAACTCGGCCAAATTAACAGCGTAACCGAAAATCATCGCCAATAACTCCTCCACAGAATAAAATTTCCCACCATTTTCACCGCCATCATCTACTTTAAAACTAACAGCTCCTCTAGAATCTTCCACAATCTCAAAAGGCAAATACAAAGTGTCAATTAATTGTTTAACTTGTCCGTACGGTTTGCCAATCATGTCACGGAGTTGTGAATAGACTTTATGCGGGTGTCGTGCGATGATTCCGGCGGCTTCTTCGCCAAGCAGACGAGTGCCTGCATGGAACGAAACCAAAGCCGGAGATTTACGTTTCGACATCTCGTTGATGGCTATGGATATAGGACTCTGGCCAGGTTTTAGGTTTACAACAGCTACTTTTAGCCATTCTGAGCCTAGATCTATGCTCGACACTGCCGATTGTGAAGGTATTGAAAGTAGTGAAAACGCGAACAGGAATATCACTGACCGGAATAGCATTGTCTTCATTATTCTGCAGAGAAGATAAATCAAACAAAACATTGTTAATAACAATTTGAAAATTCAAATTTATCTAGTTTAAATTTTCTCAAGAAACAAACACGAAAATGTAATTAATAAAGAAACGAGAAATAACACGAGAGATAAAGAGAGATAACCAGTTATGCATAGATCGCATTCCCTGAAAGAGAAGTGGAGTTATTTTATTTTATTTTCTTTCGTTTCTGTTTGGTTAACGAGAAACTTAAACGGGGACTTTGCTGGTCTTCTATGTTATATGGAGGAAAATTTGTAAAAGAGTTTCCGTTGGAAGAAACCTGATTGGCGAATGGAGTGTTGCCATGTGGCGAATTTTACACGTGGTGCAATCTGAGACGCTTGGTGATGTTGTACTCCTTGTGGAAAGTTTTAGCACTGTCGTCGTGTCACTTGATAGTTGATTTCAGACAATAATTATTTTTTTCTTTTATTTTTATGTATGAATTATTTTTACACTCATTTTTGTCGAAATTGGAGTGTACGTGGGAAGAGTTTAATCATGATTGCAATAACAACATAATGGAGAAAAGGTCGTGTCTAATTAACGTGCCCTGAGAAATTCAGAAAGCAACAAAGGGTAAATTGTCAATTACTATGAGGGCTTAAGCAATAAATTTTAAAATAAAATGGTCCTCAGTAAATTCCATGATTACTGAATATAAAATGAGCTGGCCATCAGGCTTCACATTCAAAACAAAAGGTCTGTGTAGAATAAGAACTTGTGCAGATGTATGAATCACAAAAAAAACTACAAAGACTAAACAGCATCATCAAATGAGACATCTCTACACTGTTCAAATAGATGTTTCTGACTCAGGCTTTATAACAAAAAGTATTAAAAAATAAAATGCAGATAGCAAACCTGCAACTTTGGCACTCTAGTCGCTCCTCCAATCAACTCTACAGCATATATCTCATCAACTTTTAAGCCTGAATGCTTAAGCACTTCCTTTAGAGGTGTAAGAGACTTCTCCCAAAGATCCTCGCAGAGCTCTTCAAATTTGTCACGTGTTATGGTGCTCCTGGAAGCGAAAAAATCACATAATAAACACTTTGTCATGCTCCACAGACCCACAACCAACCAATTTAAAGAGATTAAAAATTTCAATGACAAACTTTGAATCAACACAAAAAGTGATTTATTTTCTTAAACTACACTGACCTGAAGTCCCGATCATCATAGAGAGATTCAACTGATATAGGTGCTGCTGTGTTCGCACTAAGAATTTCCTTTGTACGTTTCACCTGTTTCTTTAATTTAGCCATTGCCTTCGGAGACTTCCTGACATCAACACCATTTCCAACTTGTTTATTGAACTCATCTGCAAAGTACTCCACCAAGCGTAATTCCATATTCTGACCTCCAAGTTCTGGATCCCATCTAACATCCTTTACCTGCAAAATTATGAAGAATCAACCAACATTATAAAAGTACTAAGATTATGCAAGAAACTAATCATAAGTGACACAAAAACTGCATAAAGAACAAGGACAAAACTGGGAAAATAATGACACTTATGACCGGTCAAAAGTATGTACATACTAAACAAATGGTAAATAGAATAGGAAATAACCCAATACCCAACGGCAAGTATTCCTTGTGTAAACCAGAAGCACCGTAAAAGCAAAGCCTATATAACCAATGTCATCTCCACAACAAAGCATTTCCAACACAGAACACAGTCACATCTCTAGTGCCTCAAAGACAATGTTTTGACCTAATGTAGCTCAAATTTCATTGAGTTGTTTATTTCTACTGTGTTCATTTACCATGTCTCAGTAGCCAAATCACAATTAGATCTTTTACACAGAGCAAAACATCCAGCTTTCTAACACTATATCACTAAACAGAATGCATTAGCATACTATATAAATCTGCGCAAATGTTTATATAAATTAAAATATAGCAACTCACCTGAAACTGATTGACTGATGCAGTCTTGCCAAACTCCTTGGCTTTATAAGCTGAAAAATACACCAGTGCAGCATAAGTAGTGGTAGCTCCCATATCATAAAATATAACATGCCTGGAACCATTAGAAAAATCCTTATCAATCCCATACTGCAATGCCGCACCAGAATGCTCATTAACCAAAGCAAGCACATTAATCCCAGCCAATTCCGCCGCCTGTAACAATCCCTTCCTCTCAACCTGCCCAAAATACGGCGGCACAGAAATAACAGAATCTTTCACAAACACCTTCGAATGAAACTCGGCCAAATTAACAGCGTAACCGAAAATCATCGCCAATAACTCCTCCACAGAATAAAATTTCCCACCATTTTCACCGCCATCATCTACTTTAAAACTAACAGCTCCTCTAGAATCTTCCACAATCTCAAAAGGCAAATACAAAGTGTCAATTAATTGTTTAACTTGTCCGTACGGTTTGCCAATCATGTCACGGAGTTGTGAATAGACTTTATGCGGGTGTCGTGCGATGATTCCGGCGGCTTCTTCGCCAAGCAGACGAGTGCCTGCATGGAACGAAACCAAAGCCGGAGATTTACGTTTCGACATCTCGTTGATGGCTATGGATATAGGACTCTGGCCAGGTTTTAGGTTTACAACAGCTACTTTTAGCCATTCTGAGCCTAGATCTATGCTCGACACTGCCGATTGTGAAGGTATTGAAAGTAGTGAAAACGCGAACAGGAATATCACTGACCGGAATAGCATTGTCTTCATTATTCTGCAGAGAAGATAAATCAAACAAAACATTGTTAATAACAATTTGAAAATTCAAATTTATCTAGTTTAAATTTTCTCAAGAAACAAACACGAAAATGTAATTAATAAAGAAACGAGAAATAACACGAGAGATAAAGAGAGATAACCAGTTATGCATAGATCGCATTCCCTGAAAGAGAAGTGGAGTTATTTTATTTTATTTTCTTTCGTTTCTGTTTGGTTAACGAGAAACTTAAACGGGGACTTTGCTGGTCTTCTATGTTATATGGAGGAAAATTTGTAAAAGAGTTTCCGTTGGAAGAAACCTGATTGGCGAATGGAGTGTTGCCATGTGGCGAATTTTACACGTGGTGCAATCTGAGACGCTTGGTGATGTTGTACTCCTTGTGGAAAGTTTTAGCACTGTCGTCGTGTCACTTGATAGTTGATTTCAGACAATAATTATTTTTTTCTTTTATTTTTATGTATGAATTATTTTTACACTCATTTTTGTCGAAATTTAAACAAAAAAATTAATTGACATTATTTTTTAAAATTAATTTTTAAATTTATTAAAAAAATGCTTAGACAATGATATTAGTAAAATTTATTTTATGATAAAAATAAATTAAGTTTAAGAATAATACCGGGGTTTGGGCTCCCTGGCTCCGACCCGGTCAACTACCCGAACACCGGGTATCATCCTGGCCCGTCGGGCCTTGTTTCATCAATGGTAATGTTCGGCTTGTTTTGAACTTGGACCTCTATTTGTGCTAAGTAGTTTGGGCCTAGTTTAATTTTTATATACTGAGTCACATTATAGCATAAAAGATCACTTGTGTTAATTAATTAATTTTTGAAGCTCAAAATGATTAAACGAGTCATGTTTTTATTTTTATTTTTTATATTATTCTCAAAATTGTAAAAAATAAATTGAAAATTGATGTAGAGATAACCAAACAACACACCCATATATAAGTATTATAAAAATTAAATTTTATTCATCAATCAATCGATTCAACATTAATTGCTTGAAATCACAATAAAACATTCATATTATCCGCAGCAACAAGTGGTGTTGTTGAAACATTTAGCATACCGAGCTGAATAAGACCCTTGTGAAAGGCATTTGTCAAAACATATATCCGCCGAACAATTCACAATCTCAATAGGTTTGTCACAACTTACCGTTTGTGCATCATTAAACATCGCATCTGTAATTTCACAATACAAATCTATAATATTCAACACCCATAAAAAATAATCTTAATAGATGATTTTATTAAATATAATATATTAGTATTATATGAGAAAAAAAAAAAAAAAACAATGAAAAAATGATTTATTATATGAATTTAGAGAAGGGTATTACCGAAGGAAAGAACTAGAAAAAGCACCACAAGGAGGAGAGTATTTTGAGGTCCCCTTTTCTTATTTATATATATTTTTTATTTTGTGAAGTTGAGTTTTTTTAAGTCTCAGTGTTACCTTATAGAGGAGAGGAATTTAATATGTATAATTAATGCATATCCTCTATGGTAACAATCATTTGGTAGATATACCTTAAAATATAGTAGTGTATTTAATATTGTTATTAATTGTATAACCAAGTTTAAAGACATTAATATATATAGCTACTATTTATACCTAAGTGTGCAGGGAAAATAACTTGTTATAGTAGTGATTAAAGAAAATTAAATACATAAAAAAAAACCTTAATTCAAGATCCAATAATATTATAACCCATACCATTAGTCTTATGGTCAAGCAAGACTTTTAACTATTTAAATAATTATTATTGGACTTGTAAGTATTCAATAAATCATGAGAATTAAGTAAGCTTGCAAGCAAGCTAACCCATACACATTAGTTGTCAGAAACATATTAACCAATATTTCTTTCATTTTCTTTCAAACCAAACACTTTATATAATATTATAAAAAATAATGTTTTGTTAATTGACCAATAATATTATTAACCCAATATCTAGATTCATATGTGAACTCTTATAATCCTCACAAACATTATACCTAAATATTCATTCTTTAAGATTTTTTCAAAAATAATTATGAAAAAGGAGAAAAGATATAAAGTAAGAGTAAACAATGCACCAACATATAACTAAATAAAAAATAATTTTTTATAATCAATTCCATACATTATTAATCCGTAGAGTATCAGAACAACATAAATCCTGTAAACTATGGTCTAAGAGTTGATTAAATATAATCCAATGGTTCAAATGAGATAACACTAATTTGATAATAAGCTTTCTATGTACAACAACACTTCTGTGGAGAGAAGCATCGAACATTTTACCAGTACCAGTACCAGTGCCAAACATCCGGTGCATAAACGACTACATCGAGAATGTGCACGAACATTTGTAACTTAATAGCCTACACAAGCATCTGTCTCTGCTTGCGAACATTGTACCTGTAATTCCAGAATACGACTACCGGTTATAAAATAAATAAGTAAACATAAACATAAAATTTTCAATTTAGTAACACGAATCTTTTCGATTCGTCTCCTTGTGAGCTTCTGATTTAAAATACGAATAACAACTTTATATGCTAAAATTATCAGAAATACCGATTCGTCTCCCTGTGAGCGTCTTGATTTTAAAATACAAAGAACACTCTCTTATGCTAAAATTATCAGAAATACCAGCTCTTGCATGAGTGTTGAAATCTCTGGATTTTAAGGGGGGGTTTCTCTTAATTATCCAAAATATCACCCTACCAGATAGATCTATCAATACATACAATATTTACAAAGAGAAGGAGCAATAAATGTAGTATTTAGAATGGGTTTAACCGCACGAGAGAACTAGGAAAAAACAATGCAAGGAGAAGAAAGCGTTTTGAGACGGCCATTTTTGTCTTTGATTTTGTTTTTGTTTTCTTAGTGCCAATTTGAGAGTGTCTTATGTTTTATGAAAACTTTAGATAAGGCAATAAGGGGGAAATTCAACTATATCCATATTTGTGAATCAATAGCTCCAAGCTCCGTATTATATGCTCTCGATTACTAGTGGCCACCATTTAAGAAAACAATTATTAAATGTTAAATTTATATTTGTTAGAATTTGAGCTAAAATTAGCCAAATTCCATCAACAATATTTTTTTGTGACAGTTTTTAAAGTAGAAGCTTCTAAATTTAGATGTAGAAAGCAAGAAAAAATAGGTAACAGTCAATAGAATGAGCAAACCTAATCACCGTGTTTCGTCACTACTCTAGAAAAGCCAATGCTTTCTTCTAGGTTTCCTAGCAGGAACATCTGTAAAAATGAATAATAGAACAAGATGATTATCGATCAGAGAGTGAGAAAATATTAGGGTTTAAGTAATAAGAAAGTAAGAAAAGTGATAGCTGGGTTCACCTCCAGTTGCATATAATGAATTATAATGTACTTCACTCCAGAAGCTCAGCCAAAGCTCTAAAACATGACAAATATTCATAGAACCACAAAAGATAATTAGAAAAATAAACCACTAAAAGTATAAAATTAGAATCCGTAAAATGATGACCAAAAGTATTAAGTTTTCGCAAAAGATAAACCAGTAACAACAAATGATGTCTTGTATGGATCTCACTATAGAGACACATTAAAATAAACTCATTCGTTATTTACCGAAAAAATGATTCAGCCAAGATATCACATAATTGCAACTATTTTTTCATTTTGCAGAAATAATTTTTTTATGGAAAAAAATAATTTAAAAAAAAAAAAAAAAACATTTGGAATAGCACAACTTAATTTATACATAGTTGTTCCACCAATACTGCAGAAATTTTACAAATCTAAAGGGGAAAGGAGATTGATCTTTGCCTCTTAACCATTCTAATTAATTATTAACGAAGTATTATAACAAAACAAACAAACATTTCCAGAGGACACAAATGATTAAATATATGAAACATTATATTCACATCAACCAAATTAGCAAAGAGAAAGGGACGCTAATTTAGAGGGTTCAAATAGGATGTAGTAGTATCTACCTCTTGTTGGATTCTTGTCTTTGGGAATGATCTCAATATAGCAAGTGTCTCGAAATGAGGTAACCAAACAAATTTTGGCTTCAAACTGCAGCAATGCTAGAGCAGTCACAAACCAATCATCGAATAATAAAGAAAATAATAACAAAGAGCACGGGAATCATCCAAAGGAGTTAATAAAAGTAATAGGCATAATACAGGATAGTCGTCTCCAAAAATCTCTACAAAAACAAGCCCCATTGTCTTTCATTAATGGACAAATTGGGTAAAAATTTTCAATCCTTGCCAACCATAAAAGTGGTAAAGTAGCTAAGCAACTGAGTGTCATATTCTTAAATGCTATGTGAAAATAAATTTATAAATAAATAGCCAAGTTTCCTCGAAAGCCAAAGAGAAAAACAAAAGGACTAGTCCTTCATGCAAAAAAAAGCTCATTATTAAGTTTATCAAACATACTAAATTCTGCTTGCTTAGTAGCATGGAGCCAAGGACAATGGTAAATTAAGTCCACTTATTTCAGTCAAGAGTTACTGTATATTTTCAGGAAATATTTAATTTTCAACGCTCTTCTTGTTTGAGTAGGATTCAAATGACTTATCAGGAAATTTTTAGTTTCTAGTTTTGTCTAGAACTTGACCATAAAAATAGGGCCTTAAAAAATGAAATTTCCCTCTGTTCTCTCTGTTTTGCTCCCAGTCTGATTCTTTCTTTCTATTTCTCTTCTCATTCTCTTTGTTCTACATCACTTTCATTTTTTATTTTTCTCATAACTTAGAAGGAAAGCATCCAACATTATTCATTTGGGGTACATCATTTAGAACTAGTGATCCACAGTACATGTTATTTGTGCAAAATTTCAAGTCTATCCACCACTTTACTTCTGTGAAATTAAATCTCATAGAAAATTGTACTATAATGTAGATAAATCTGAAACAAGATTACACAGAATGCAAGGCAGTAAGGAACTATAAAATGTAAATTTCTAGAGAATGAATTGTGTCCATACAAATTTTCCCGTAGCTAAATCTATCATTACCTCATTAGATTAGAGTTGAAAATTCATGTTATCNAAAAAAAAAAAAAAAACATTTGGAATAGCACAACTTAATTTATACATAGTTGTTCCACCAATACTGCAGACATTTTACAAATCTAAAGGGGAAAGGAGATTGATCTTTGCCTCTTAACCATTCTAATTAATTATTAACGAAGTATTATAACAAAACAAACAAACATTTCCACAGGACACAAATGATTAAATATATGAAACATTATATTCACATCAACCAAATTAGCAAAGAGAAAGGGACGCTAATTTAGAGGGTTCAAATAGGATGTAGTAGTATCTACCTCTTGTTGGATTCTTGTCTTTGGGAATGATCTCAATATAGCAAGTGTCTCGAAATGAGGTAACCAAACAAATTTTGGCTTCAAACTGCAGCAATGCTAGAGCAGTCACAAACCAATCATCGAATAATAAAGAAAATAATAACAAAGAGCACGGGAATCATCCAAAGGAGTTAATAAAAGTAATAGGCATAATACAGGATAGTCGTCTCCAAAAATCTCTACAAAAACAAGCCCCATTGTCTTTCATTAATGGACAAATTGGGTAAAAATTTTCAATCCTTGCCAACCATAAAAGTGGTAAAGTAGCTAAGCAACTGAGTGTCATATTCTTAAATGCTATGTGAAAATAAATTTATAAATAAATAGCCAAGTTTCCTCGAAAGCCAAAGAGAAAAACAAAAGGACTAGTCCTTCATGCAAAAAAAAGCTCATTATTAAGTTTATCAAACATACTAAATTCTGCTTGCTTAGTAGCATGGAGCCAAGGACAATGGTAAATTAAGTCCACTTATTTCAGTCAAGAGTTACTGTATATTTTCAGGAAATATTTAATTTTCAACGCTCTTCTTGTTTGAGTAGGATTCAAATGACTTATCAGGAAATTTTTAGTTTCTAGTTTTGTCTAGAACTTGACCATAAAAATAGGGCCTTAAAAAATGAAATTTCCCTCTGTTCTCTCTGTTTTGCTCCCAGTCTGATTCTTTCTTTCTATTTCTCTTCTCATTCTCTTTGTTCTACATCACTTTCATTTTTTATTTTTCTCATAACTTAGAAGGAAAGCATCCAACATTATTCATTTGGGGTACATCATTTAGAACTAGTGATCCACAGTACATGTTATTTGTGCAAAATTTCAAGTCTATCCACCACTTTACTTCTGTGAAATTAAATCTCAAAGAAAATTGTACTATAATGTAGATAAATCTGAAACAAGATTACACAGAATGCAAGGCAGTAAGGAACTATAAAATGTAAATTTCTAGAGAATGAATTGTGTCCATACAAATTTTCCCGTAGCTAAATCTATCATTACCTCATTAGATTAGAGTTGAAAATTCATGTTATCAGTAAGCAGTAGTAACAGATTGATAGTGGTAGTCTGGTAGAGCAACCAAGAAACAAGTGCTATGAGATTTCTCTAGATGCAATCTAAAACAAGTCATATTAAGGAGACAAAGAAAGAATGTTAACTTACTCGATCTGCAGCCGCCTGTAAAGTAACATGATCTCCCCATTCCCCTGATCTATTTGCATAGAAAGGTTTGCACAAAAAATTCAATTAGCATTTAGTTACATCAAGGTCATGAGAACATGCTGCCTAACTTGTCAGGTAGAAAATTAACAGGCATCACAATAGATGTCTAACTTTTTCATTTTCTTCAGGTAGCTTTTGTACTTCATTGGGACATAGCCTTCATATAATTTTCTGAAATGCTTCAGCTGAAAAATAAAATAAAATATATAGTAAACAACAGAATAAAAGACACATACAGGAATGGGATTGCATCACAACCAGACATTTCATTTCTGAGAAAATAAAAATTGCATAGTATATATGTGTATGATTTGTGTATATACAAGCAAACAAAACCACAGCTCAGATATTTTCACCTATTGTTTGTTATCTTTACAAAAAATAAAAGGACATTAGCATATTTTTACAGGATGGATGGACACACTAATTGCAGTAAGATCAGGGCTTTCTTGCAAAATTTTCTCTCAAAAGTACCATCAGACACCCAGCAAGTGAAAATTCATTTGCTCCAAATAGAAAACCAACTCCTCTGATGATATAAGGCACCCCCAGTGGTAAAGCATTAATAAATGGAAAATTTACCTATAGTCTTTCAATACTAAAAAGGTAGTTTTAATAAACTGTTTTTGTTAGTTGAGTTCTACAAACCATACCTGCTTGATGATTTCCTTTCTTACATGCTTGTGGTATTCTGGATTGCGAAATAACTGATCTGCTAATGCTCGAAACTGTCCCACAGCACAAAAACAAATTGTAGAACACATATTAATGAAAAGAAGATTTAACAAAGAAAAGGAAAAGAAGACTTAATTCATGTACAAAGCACTTAACGTGATTATCCTCAAAAAAATTTACGTGATGTACATAAAATATGTTTAATAAATGTGGAAATCTGAATAAAAAGAAATAGAGAACCTGGCAATTTCCATCTCCCTCCATTTGCAGTTCAGCTAAGCCATATGTGGCCAACCTGAATGACAAACAAAACCATTATGATCAAATGAAGACAAATCACATTATATGCACACGTTATGTGTTAAATATGAAAGGCCAGGTTGCAAACGCCAAAACTTCAACAATCATGCCTGACACTGTCAATTGTGGCTATAATTTACTGCATAGCCACTTCAAATGAAAGTAATGGTGCAGCTTAAATGATATGGACCTCCATGTTCCATTGGTTTGTGAAGACAACATTCTCAAAATGAATTTTAAAAGTATGAGATGCAACCAAGCAAAATGGAATTCAAAAAACCTTTGACAAGATAAAAAGAAAAACAAACATTTCTATAAACAATTTATTATTATTATTATTTTTTTAATAAACGTAACAGGTAGTAATCAGTCATGAATAAATTAAGACTGACTAAATGTCAAAGCATACAGTTCCCTATCCACTAAATCAACGACCAAGCTAAAGTATACTATATAAAACAATCAACAAGAAACTGTATACAGAGCTAATGATAAAATCAGAACCTTTCAGACAGCCGCTCATGGTCTAAGGTTGCATCATTCACATCCGGAATCTCCCCATTAATTCGGGGCGTGTGCTGCCAACAAAAGCCAACGAGTACTTACAGACCCCGTAGAACAAAAAACATCCTAATTGCTGAACAACAAAATAATAATAGATCATCCTGTTCATGCCTCTCTACCACCTAACACTCAAATTAGAAACTAAAAAAGGTGAGAAGAAACATACACACCCATCTAGGAGGCACAAATTTTTCTAAAATTTACTCCTATCACACAACCATTGAAACCATAATTCTGAAAAAAACATTAGAACAGGAACCATTGAAAAGTACTATAGACAAAGAGAGGATCCATACAGGGACAGAATCCAAGTGAGAGAGTCTCTTCCCAAGCTTGCCTTGATCGGTTTTGGAATTTTCATCTTCAGCTAAAATGGCTGCAATTGTGTGGTCATCTTCAGTATCTTGGAAGCTGCTATTCAAACTTGAACTTGAGCTAACACTTGCAGTGCTGTGGCTTTCAGTCATGCTATCTCAACAATAAGATAAAGGTAACCGATTAACAAGACCCTGCCAAAACAAATACATCATATATCCATCAACCCATCAAGCAAAATAACAAAGATTTTAGCACAAAGCATAAAAAATCATACCCAGATGCTTATTAGAACAAATAAATCAAACCCAGAAGCTAAAACACAAGGATGTAAAAGAAGCCAATGAATCAGTGAATAAAAGAAAACCCAGAAATTAAAAGGAGATGGAAATTAGAGATTTGGTAAGCGAAAAGATTGCTTATGTAAAGAGGAAACTGAAAACGTTGAAGAGGGTGAAAGAAAGGTTCAAAGGGAGAAGAGAAAGGGTAAGGGATAGGCTTTGACAAGTTTGACAAACAAAGCCAAAGGCTTCATGAAATGGAAAATCTTGGACTCAACGTTATTCATTCTTTAATTAAAATCCCTCTCTCTCTCTTACAAGAAACCGTTACCTGGCTTTGGGGTCACTAATGAATCACCTGCTTGGTAATATCTTTGTCACTTCCATCCCATGTGGCTAAATTTAAGACACTTTGGATCAGCATTAAGATTTTGGGTTTTTGTTGTCAGAAATATTATTCTTTATAAATATTTGGCTCGGGGTGGGATATTTAGAATTTAGATGGTAAGATGATTAATATATACCCATGATTAGTTTAAGTATATATAAACTGGTTTGAATATTTTAATCATAATAATAACAAAAAAAGTTATTATGTATACATCTTATCCTATATTCTTACTTTGAATATTATTTTACGTATGAATGTAATAAAGATTTTGGAATAAATACAATATAAGGAACAATAGTAACTTGTTTTTTGCAATAGAGGAACAGAAAATAAATATTTAAAATAATGGCATGTTTATAATTCATATTTTTTTCAATAATATATTCCAACTACAAATAAATATTATATAATTTATGAGCCAACACAAAATTCCAGGCTTTGTCTCTTAGCATTAAACCATTTTTCAAGTCAAAGCTGATTAATTTATCAGTTAATTATCATTAATTTCATATACTATTATTATTAACTACTAATGAAGTTAAGAAACAAATCAAAATTGTAAACTTCTGCATGCGGTGAGACTGAGTCTGATCAAGCAAGCTATTAAAAATGAGTAGTCAAGAATGGCTGTAACTGAAACTCTTGACCAAGCATATGTATTTATGTATACCTTTCCATTTCAAACATTTTTTTCTTTTTTTGTTCACTTTTTCATTGTATATTATTAATTTAGATCGTGATTTAAAGCTACTTATTTCCCCTTAGTTAATTTCGGGACTGTTAGGTTTGTAGTTTCCTGTCACAAGTTATGGGTTTGAGTCTCCTATTGTGTATATAAAACACATAATTTAATCCTATGTGCATTGGCAATTAATACTATTAAAGAAACAAAAATTCATCAGAGATTAATACAAGTATTGATATTGAACATCCTTCATCCTCTTCTTTTGGTTCTGACTAGAATTTGTAATTTTATTATTAAGGTCATCAACAAAGGCTATGAGATTCGCCATTACTCTTGACCTCGCATCTTCTTCCATAGTCCTCTTATGCAGCTTCATTAACCTATTATTCATCTCAACATTCTCCTCCATCATCACTCTCTTCAATCCCTCTTCAATATCCTTCTGTCCAAAGCCATTGATCTTTACTCCAATCTTCCATATCTTCACAATATAAGCACAGTTCACGAACTGATCCCCCGCCACCGGCCAGCACAGCAGTCTCTTCCTGCATTCAATGGCTTCCATAGTCGAGTTCCACCCGCAATGCGTGAGATAACACCCCACAGCTTCGTGTCGCAGCACCTTCATTTGCGGCGCCCATGAAACCACTTTTCCTTTTAAAGATTTTGTTGTTCTCTCTAAAAACCCGTTCGGTAATCCCTCTTGCCACGCTAACCCTAGCACCCAAATGAAATTCAAATCCGAGGCTTCAAGCGCCATCGCGAGGCTCTTCACTTTGGCTTCGCCAATGGGGCTAACCCAGCTCCCGAACGAGATGTAAACGACTGAGTTTGGCTTCTGTTTGTCCAGCCATTCTATGCAGCTCATGTCTTCTTCCCAGAAGCTAGGGTTTCTGATTATTGCATGATGACTCAGAGGTCCAACTAGATAAACTAGAGGTTGCTGATGACTTCCATTTAACTGATATTGTTTCTTTATATCTATGTATTCTTCTGGGAAAGAGTTGACCAGTAGCCATCTTAGCTTTCTCAATCTGTCTAATGTTCTGGTCCAAAACTTGAATCTTGATTTTCTTGCAGAAGGAGTTCCAATCAGCCATGGAAGATCTTCTGTGGATAACATTGGCTGATTAGGAAGTAAGTGTGCCTTTTCTTGTACTTGAGGACAACCTATAAAAAACCAAACCCAGTTGAAGCCAAATTAGATTATTCATACAGTACAAGATCAAGTCAAACATTATGTGAAATTAAGAATCAGAAAATTAGGAAAAGATCCCAACAAGCATGCCCTATTGTAGGCATATAATCTTGGGTCAACTACACATAACTATGATTAAGCACATGATCATTTCAACTAAACAATGCTAAATCAAACCATTTGAGCGAATGATTTATATATTCAAGTTGAATTGATCAAGGTGGTTAACCCTGAATTAATGCCTCATATAATTCTAACTGTTTGGCAACTTCAAGATGGTTGGTATGTTGTAGTTTATTTTTCATCATCAAGATAATATAAGAAAATATTTATTCATCCTTACTATATTTTTTTCATTATCTGTATAAAAGTCAACTCAATTTTACCAAAACATTATCACTTATCTATCTACCTTTCAGTCAACACAATTTTAGAATATCATTAAATTTGTATCAAAAAGTCTTAGTGGTCCTAGCTGGTGAAGGTAATTAATATATAGATATAGATATAGATATAGATATGCAATAAAGTGTTACAAAGATAAAGCAAAACATATACTAATTAAAAGACATGTAGTTATGTATAAACAGAGCAAACACAAATTTCATTTAAAAATATTTAAATATTAATTCAAATATATTTTCCTCACTCTCCTCAACAGTTGACCTAGCCATAATAAATTTGGTTGATCATAACAAATGGCATGTGCTTTAAGTTGACGCTCATTCCAAGAACTGTAATGTACTCAGAGTTGAACAAACTCATATATCATCAGAAACTCAAATTTACTTTAAGTTGGATGATTGGAGATCACTTTGGTAGAGTGAGATGGTGAGAACTTACCCGTATCATCAGAAATGTAGCCGGCTTGGACCATGTCAGGAATAGCCGCAATCAAGCAGTAAGTGGCGAGCATAGCAGGCCAAAACCCCGCCACAGGGAGGCCACACCGATCAGCGACTTGAATAGCCCATGATGCTACCAAATCAACCACAACACACACCACTCTCCCATCATCATCTTCATCAACAATATTACCAATAAGCTTCTCCAAGTGAGCAGGCATGAAGTTTTCCATTGCATTTTCTATGGCAAAGAAGTCTCGCGGAGCATCCTTCTCCAACCCATCTGGTATTGACATGCATCTGATCTTGTTCTTGGAGTCGATACTCGATATGACTCGATTGTGAATGAATTCTGGTGTCACAAGCACTGCCTCCTTTATTAATCCGTCGTTGAGAATGGCTGAGGCCAGCTTCAACATGGGAGTGACATGCCCTTGTGCAGGATATGGAACCAATATGACTTTGAGCTTCTTCTCTTTGCAGAACTTCATGTTCACCATCTTGATATTAATGATTCTCTTGAACATGCACAACACTCAGAGCTTCAATTTGTTTGAGCTTCTGCTTCTCTGGGTTGTGTTGTAAAGTCACTAACCAGAAGTGCTTAATTTATAGAGGGTGCTTAATAGAAAGCGACAAAGAGTCAACTAAACATGTGCCTAAGCTGTGAATTAATTTTGTTGCTCAATTCCTGCCCACCTCCTTTACGAAGAAAATGTTAAAACCAAAGTGAAATCTTTCTAAAAAAACAAGAGAATCTAAAATATAACTAAAGTATCACATCATTCGTATCATGATCGAGTCAATAAAACTATGTTAACAGATTATATCCACGTTTTTATTTATTTTCTACTATATCAGTTTATATAAAAATCTTTATAAAATTTGTTTGTATATCTAATATTAAGACTATGTTAATATTCTGAACCCATTTGAAAACGAGTAACAAATGTAGATTAAAAAACAAGTAACACATGTTATAAATGCTAGCTAATGAGAGGGTACAAATTAAGTTAGGCATGTGGGCAACCGCACTTGAAACCATTTTTGATATTAATATTGTGCTTTAATTACTTTACTTACTTCTAGTTTCTCTTTAATGGAGTCATGGGGGAGTGTGTTTTGCACTTATCATATTTTAAGCTATGCCTTTGTTTAATTAAGTTGTAGAAGAAACTAATGGAGAGTTGAGTAGATGACGCTTAAGTTTATTTAAATGATGCTGAAAAGATTTGATTAAGACTCTGTAACCAGATAGATATGTATATATTTTCATTAATTTGATTTTGATCTTAAAAGGATAAGAAAGGTCACCACCATTATTTCATATAATATAGTAGCTCGAGCCGTTTCAAATGCCAAAGCCTTTGACTAATGAGATACTTGAAGATGTCTTATGGATGGAATTTCACCACGTCCAAGGTTAACACTAATTTAAGCCAAAAAAAAAAAAAAAAAAAAAATGGGATCAGTTTAGCTTCACTACATTGAAGATTCAAGACTATATCTTTTTTTTTTAATCACGTGGTGTCTGGTTAGTTTATATGTATTTTAACTAATCTTTCGAGATTCTAAAACTATCGACCAAGTAAGAATCTCAATGATCACCCTTATTAGTGCATGGAGAAACTCGAACTTAGAAGTTCATCAAACTATCTCCTTTACCACCAAACCATCTAGTGATGGTTAATTCAAGACTATATTGATATAACAAATTAAGAAACAAGAATTATGATAAAAGCTACAACACAAGTTGTATGGTATGAGCTGTTTATGATTAATCGATGAATAATTATATTTAAATCTCAATATTAGTTTACTGAGATCTAATCACTTTATTTAAATTAATCACATGCTCCTTAATCCATCTTAATTAAATGGTTCGTCTCACTGTCTTTGATTCATCATCTCCTTCTTTATGACGAAATCAAAAATGTATATTTAAAGTACGCCTGCCACTATATTCACAAACTCATGATTCGCAGCAAACAAACACTTTACAAATGTATATAAAATTACAGCAGAAATATGAATAGGAGACTCACTTTTGAAATTGTATATGGAGTCCACTGTAGAATTCCACCTGCAATGACAGATGAATATGTATATAAAATAGCTGCCAATCTCACAGTCACCCTCGTGCTGCAATGCCAATACCAATATGCATGTAAAACCAACTTTGCCTTTACAAATGTCGTTGGCTCATTAATAATCTCGTATCTTCCTCTTCCCACTGCTGGTTTTAATAGCTTATTAAATGGTTTGTGATAGAAAATAGAAAGCGATATATTAATTGTGTGCCAAAGATTTGTATAATTATGGACCGACTTCATAGTGGGGACTGGGGAGTAGTCGTTTTTGAAGAAAATGCTATTCTGGAAAGCATTCATGCACTTTAATTAGCTAGCAAGATGTATTTAATTAATTCATTAATCATGTGATATATTAATCTGATGTACCAAACGCATTATAATAATAAAGTTAGGCAAATGGGTAACTACAATTAGTTTGTTAATCTGTCACTTAATCATGGTATTGGTCTCTTTAATTGAGGCAGTACTAGGGCAGTATTTGTATTGCGTCTCTCCAACTTCATGGAAATTTCAGATTAGTATTGGTAAATCTATAGAATTATTAAAAGCTGTGAATGAAAGTGGAATTACATAACAATAGATTATATGTCCCTTCATTCATATATAATATATCATGTGCTTAAATTTTGAAATGTGAAAGTGCCCTTACTTGAAAGGAGATCATGAAGATCGATATTTCATATATTACACGTCCTTCCCTGCCATAACAATTAACATAAATAATTTATTTTGGAGATGATATGATAATAATGTATAAATGTTGGTGATAAGATGTAATGTTGAACAGCTTTATTAAAGGATGGAAGAAGTCTTTTATAAATCCATGATCTACTGTTCTCAAATATTTATATTCTCAGGATCACTTTCAATTCCCTCAATCATAAGCATTAATTTATAATTCTATGTAGATTGGTAAGGATTCCATGCTACAATATTCATATTATCTTTTTTTTGGGTATCTAGTGGTGTCTGGGCAGCTTGTGTATACCTTGACTATTTCTTCGGAGATTTGAAGTTAACGATCAGGTAAGTTTCCAATGGCTATATCTTATTAGTAGTCATAGAAATTCGAAATCAGAATCTTTTGAGTAATACACTTAAGAGTCTTAAACGAATCGTCAAACTATCTAGAGATAATTATATTCACAGTATTTTCACAGTTAGGTATGTATTACAACTATATATATATATAGTTGTAATCACGCTACAATTGGTTACAAGTTGTAACGTCATAGCCTTAGAGAAATATTTTGTAAATGTAACTAGTAAGCTGTAAGAGTACCTTAAAAATCTAAAAGAATAGCCTCTTCTAATTACCCTCTTAGATTGGAATGTGGCTCAATTAATGGACAAGTGGACCATTCATCATAGAAGCCGTTATTAGTAACTATGAAAATGATGGCAATTATTTATGAAAGGGAAAACCACCGTATAAGTGGCAATAGATAATTAATTTTAATTGAATAGTCGAAATGATAAGACCATCTCATGTCAGTATTTATTGTTAGACATATATATATCTTCTTTGAAATTATTTTGGGTAGTAATTTGAGCATAAATTTCATAATCCTTAAAGCATAATTAATTATTTGTTAAAGATTTTGGGCTTTTGTGGCTTTGAAGAACCCAGTTCATTGGGCTTCGGTGAGCCTGCAGGATGGGCCAATATAAAAGACGTCATATTGTTGCAAATCACATAAAACAGGTAAGGGCTGGGCGGGCTTTAATATAAAAAGATGGTGGAAACTTGCCGCGGTTAGCATCGGCGACTCGGCGCATTCTTATTCACCAGTTCACCTCCCCCTCCTTCCAGACTTCTACACATTTCCCATTATTAGGGGTGTTCAAAAAAATAAAAAAATCAAACCGAACTGATAACCAAACTAAAAAATTAGTTAACCAAAAAACGATTCGGTTACAGTTCGAAAAATTTTAAAAACCGAATTTCCGGTTCGGGAAAAAATAAAAAACGGTTAACCAAAACCAGTTATATATATATATATATTAAATACAAATAAAAATAATATATTAAATAAAAAAATAATATTTTTAATGTATTATTAGTAGTGGTCAATGGATATGTATGAATGTTTAATTTTTATTTGGATATGTATTATTTAATTTACAATTTAATTTAGGACCAAAAAAAAAAAGTTTTATAAAAAAAAGGGAAAATCGGTTTAAAACTGGTTAATCGAAAAACTATTTTTCCCTCCAAACCGGTTCGGTTTCGGTTTAGAAATTTTTCTGAACCGAAAGACCAGTTCAGTTCAAAAAAGAGGTTAACCGCTTTTGAACACCCCTACCCATTATTGTCCCATCTTCTAAAATGCGGTGGCGTTAACTGTGCTAACATAATTTTTTTTAATATAATATATTATAGGAAGAAACAATGGATAAATTAACACCACATGCTTTATTATAAAGAGTTTATCAATAAAAACAAGTGTCCAACATATTTTTTATACTTTAAATATAAATTAAAGAGTGAGTTTGATTCTCCACATCTAGAGAGTTAAATTTCATTATTTATCTCAATTTTAATTAATAAACTATAAATTTCTATGCATTTTATTTATTAATTATCTCTCCTATTAAGTCTCTTTTTTGAAAATAAAGAGCATCTTCATTAAATTTAAAGAATCAATTAGATTTGAATAAAAAATTTGTTCTTTAAATTTATAAATTAATGAAGATATTCTTTATTCAAATAAAAAATGCTATTTAAAATAAAAAGCATCATTAGAGATGTTCTTACAAGTATCCAAATGGGTTACACGTCAGTAAAATTGAATTCCTTTACTCTATTTAGATTATCACATTTGATTGTCAAGTAATATAAGATTCTAAATCTTAACATTTCATATATTTATCAAGCTTTTTTATTTACGTGAATATGAACGGATTAAACACTTTTGGGATGCCCAATAAAAAAATGTGAAGGGTTTGTATTAATCGGAATGTGAAATGTGAAGGGATTAAAAACATCCTCCAACCAATTCCATTGAGTCACGTATAACCAAAAATCCTACTTATCCACATATTTTATATTATCACCAATCACATACATCCAAATGTACATATCTCATATCATATCATTATCAATCGTATGCAATCACGTGGCAAACAATGATCCATCATATCAAAATGAAGCAATTCTAGAGTTTAAAAAATTATATATGTCAATCAAACAGGATATATTTCAGGGTTATATTAATACATAGATAAAGAGATATAGATATTGATAGATAGTAAAAGCACAAGTCAAATAAATTCCGCCCCGATTGTGAATTTTAATCTATTTCTCCACTCAATGGTCAATCCCATAGTTCATTATTATTATTATTATTATTTTTTTTTTTTACTAAATTCAATTTTCATTTATTAATTACCAAACGTCTTTTGTTGGACGTTATTATCTATCAATTCACTAAGATATGCACTAGTGTCTTATTATATATCATATTTATATCTTATTATCTATTTCAACGTCACCTTATCTCAGAGGATGTGACAGTAATGGGAAATATGTAGAAGGAGAGAGAGGTGAATAAGAATGACTTGATGCTAAGTTGCTAACCGCATTTCGTCAAGTTTACACCATCTTTTATATTAAACCGATGTTAAAAAACCAAAAGGTGGTTGCTAAATCATCAATTGAATCTCGATATAGAGCAATATCTAATGAGACTACAATTGAATTGATTTGGTTGCAAAGTCTATTACTAAAGGAGTAAATCTTTCATAGCCCGTGATATGTACAATCAGCTACAGGGTGTCACATCAGTGCACCTGACATACACATACCTAAAGATTGATTGTTTATACATACCAAAGGGTATTGAAGATTTACACCTACTAAAGACATAGAAATTGATATTCAATAGCTTCAAAAGAAATTCTAAGTAAACTGTATTCCAGCTGAACAACTAGTAACAGATAGATACATTACAAAATCATTGTCAGCTTCAAAATTATATTTTCGCTCTTCTGGTAAAGTTCTATGCTTCAATTCAATTTTTTAGGTTTCTGATTTGGTTTGTTAATTATATGGCAATTTCGTAACTTAAATAGACGTAAATTAACAGTATATATAAGCTCAATGGTGGGTGTAACTGTTTCTAAGTAACACCATATTCATGCATGCATGGATTAATCGAAAAGTTAGAGAATCCAAACAAACAAAACCCTTCAAATTTTGTTGGAATATTTGTAAATAAGATCTCTTAATCTTAAAACTACATTCACGAAGACACTAACCTTCAGTGGGGTGTCAATCTCATTGATGAAGCCGTCGATCACACCACCAACAATTCTGAAAACACCTTGAATCTAAACCCTACAATCCATGATGAAATTAATATATTAAAGAAAAGAAAAAAGCAATAAAAAGAAATTAATGTTAGTTCATATAGCATGCCAATAATAATATGAATGTAAAATATTTGAACATATTAGAAATGGGAGTCAGAAGCTGACTTCAAAGGCATACATGAGAAGGATATACCAAATCATCAGTCAAAGACATTTGGGATCTTATATAAAAATAAGCTAGAAATAATATAAACCTAATCCTACTGAAAATTAATATGATCAATCCAAAATAAATCAAAAATAATCCTAAAACTATACAACGAATCCTAATTCTGAGGGGGTGAATCCAATCAATTTACCTTTTTGACTCTATTTTTTTAATTATTTTTTTTTTATTTTAAGGATTTTTGTTTCAATTAATGTTTATTTTTTTTAAATTTAGTTATTGACATTTGCTGGACAATCTATTGGAGTTGGCCGTCGTTGACTACCATTGATCAACGTTAACCAATCTTGACTTATCGTTGATCGTTAGTAACCACCATTGACCGGTGTTGACTGTTCATTAAATTTGGATTTTTTAGTTAGAATAACTATTGTTAAAGACTTAAAGTAAAAATAAAATAACAATAAAATTATACTTACAAAGATTTCCATACAAATGAGGCGACAAAAATGAATGAATGGTGAAATAAAAAGTCACCTACTAGATTTAGATTTCATTCCCTCAGTATTTCTTCTTATAAGTAAACAAGGAATTATAATGCACTTCATCCTTCATTCATATTCGAATATATCCATTTCCATTCTTTTTTTCGTTTCAATACAATTTCAACAATAAACATGACCAAAGGAAAAGTTTGATGCATGCATCATATTTATAGTTTTATAAATCCAAACTCATTAAAAAGCAAAAACCAAGCTAGATATATAAACTCAAACATCAAATTTAAAAAAAAAAAAAAAAAATCAATGAATAAAAAGCAAAGAACATGCTAAAAATAAAAGAAAATAACTGACATACTAGAAGTGAGAGTAAGCACTGACCTCATGCATGAGATCGATGAACAAATCATCAGTGAGGTGGAAGATGAAGCCAAAGAAGAGTGTAAGGAGGTGGAATTGAAATAAACAAATGAAATGCCATTATGCCAAGCCTAGTTGCTGAAGTAGATTTATATTTATTGGGAGGGGACGAAGACTTATAAGTCAATGAAGTCAACTGGGGACAAATTAAGTGTGGGCTCCTGTAGATAAGGTGTCAAATCAATTTTGCAATCTCAGCCACAAATATGTTCATCTCATTTGCCAATTAGAAGGCTATCTCTTGGACAATGTTGATAATGAAATGATTCTTAGCTCGTCTTCAGATAAAAGTTTGAAGCTTAATATCAGATTGTAGTATATTCTAAATGACTAAAATTCTCATTGACATTTTCTCGTGTAACTCTCCTATAAGGTCTTTTCTTATGCCAATGTTGTTAATGCTGCTGCGTTTTAATAGTCTGAGAAAAGATTGTTTTAAACCAGAATGGCTCAATTTCAACTCAAAGTTCATAACTTCGATGTTAAAATAATTAATTAGTTCTGTTTATCTTAATCAGAACAGTCCTCTTTCTCATTTCCAAACGATTTGCTTTTTTGTAAAAATGAAAAATTCAGTAACATATATATATATATATATATATATATATATATATATATATATATATAAACAATTAAACGATATTATTCATAAAAATTCTGAAACTTCAATCCCATCCCTTCCATGCATCTTGACAACTTGTTGAAAAGAATAGAAGAATATGCAAGAGGCATTTAGTTTGTGACATAGAACGTCTGGCGGATGAATTTATGGAGTGGACTGAACATTAGAAGTCTATGTGTAAAGCCCAAAAAGCCTAAATGAGCATGTCTCATTCAAACGGCCATAAATTTTGATATGAGAAGAGTTACAGGGCTTGTAAGATACTGTTGGAAAGCTTATTTCGAGCCCGTCGATGTGGAAACTGCTTTAGTTGGTTGGAGGTCATTTTCGAGGTCAAAATCCATCGTTTGGCATGTTTCGGGGTTGTTTTAATTATTTACTCGTTTTTTCCTATTTTATTTCAGATTTTCTTGTTTTAATTGATTTAGTTTTTATTTCCTTTTGTTATTAAGAGTCTTATTAGGGTTGGTTGTCACCTTATATAAACTCATTTTTCATTTTGGAGATTATTTAATAAATTATTCAGATTTGACTTTTGATTTTAAGCTGTTAAATTTCTGGTTTGAGACTTGTGTTACCAGTTCTAAAGGCATAGTTGAGTGCTAGCCTTGTTTTATCATGTTACTCATTGTGTTAGTTTGTAACAGGAGTGGTAGTTAAGTTCGTTAGTAAGCAGAGTCAGTTGTAAGTTTTAGCAAGCGGTGCCATTTCTTAAGCTGCATGCGCACTCCTCCAAGTCCAACGCTTTCCTATAAACACCAAACATTCTTTCATGAATTCCAGTTAGAAAATAATTTGTTTCAATCATTTCTCTTTGTTTACACAATTCTATAAGATATCAAGACTTAATTAGATGTTATGTGTTACAGAAAATTAGTTTAAATCATGCGAAATTGAGGACCGAATTACAATTAAAGTTCAGACCTAAGTATATCTTAAATATAGAGTATAGATGAAGAATGCAGCAGACAAATCGTAGCAAAATTTTCTTTCTTACATAAGTCAAAAGTATTTGGCAACTGATATATGTACAATTTGCATGTTTAATTAGGTAGAATTAACTTCACGCTGATGTGGTTAGAATAAATTAGGGTTTGTGATACTGTCCATCCAATCCATCATGTAGTTCTTGTTTTCTGGAAGCGATATTGGTAAGTTTAAGATTTGTTTTTATTCCTTTATTGTTTTAACATCGCTTCTGAGAGAGTCTTGATTAAAAAAAATTTAAAAACTTGGAATGAATTGATGGTTTACCAGGACACAAAAGTATTTTTTCAAGTCACACTTTCTCTCACTTTCCCACCAGCCAAACACACACACATGACCAAAAAAAAAAGAGTAAATTTTGGAGAGAAAAGGTAAAGTAAACACTAAAATAAAAAAAGAAACAAACCTAAATGCTTTTACATGGTATTTTGTTCAATTAGCTCAAATGTTTTTGCACTTCAAGTTTCTGCTTTTCAGAAACCAACCAGCTTCGAAGCAATTGCACAAGATTAACATAAATAGGAGGAACGAAAGAGAAAGGAATGCAAAGTTTTAATTTGAGAAGAGAGGAGACGATTATGAAGACGAATAAGAGAGGGAAGAAAGGGAGAGAAGAAGAAGAAGAGAGAGACAAAGAAGGAGGGGAGAGATTGGATTGGATATAAAGGGGGCGTTTAGTTCAAGAAATGTTGGATTACTGGAAATGTTGGATTACCTTGAAGATTACTGGGAATCTTTAGCAAAATGTGTTTGGTTAATTGGTGGGTATGTTATATTTGTTAAACAATCCAAAGAAAATAATAAAAAGAGGAGGCTAGGGTTTCATTGATATTGCACAATTCAATTGAATACAAAAAGTATGATTTAATCTAAATACAAAGATATATATATAGGCTAAACAAAGGAAATAATGAAAAGACAAATCTACCCTTAATTAACAATAAAACAAAATAACCCATATTTCTTAACAATATTAATATGTTTGGTTGGAAGGAATAAATTGGTGGATATGTTATTTAAATTACTGAATTGTCCTCTAATTAAATATTATTATTATATTATTTTTTAATGTTAATTATTATTTGGATTATACAACCCCCCTGCATTTAAAAACTTAGCAAAAACAACCCTATAATAAAAGTTTAAAAAATCAACAAAAAACCCCCACCAACCCAGCCACTGCCGCTGCCGACAACCACCGCGGGTCGTTGGCAGCCAGCAACCTTATGGCTCACAGAAGGCAGAAAATGGCCATTTCCGGCCAGAGATCTGGCTGAAAATGTCCAGACGTGATAGATCTAGCTATCAACGGCCAGATCTGGCACGATTTGGCCATTTTCGGCTAGATATATGGCCGAAAATGACCATATCGGTGCACGACAACCATTTTTGGCCTTCCGTGCGTTGATCTGATGGTGGCTGGTTGCGGCGGCAGGCAGCAGGCGGTGGGTGGGGGTGGTGGCGTGGGTGGGCTGCAATTTGTTTTGAATTCAAGGGTAATTTTTTCCAAAAAGTTAATTAATTGGGGTGAAATAGTAAAAGTCATATTCATGTAAATAAATTTAAAAATAAGGGCATTATTGTCCTAAAATTTTATTAATAAGGGATATAATTGTAACAAAAAAAGATAACCGTAATAATATTAGAATATCTAAGAAAATGGAGGTAATCAGATTACCTCCAATATTACCAATAGTAACCATTATTAGTATTTGAAGATTACCTTGACAACCAAACATGGTAATCAAGTAATATAAAATGACTTAACCCTAGTAATCCCAGATAATCCCCAACCAAATGCACCCAAAAGAATAAAAAGGAAAAATGTATATATAAGTTTTTAATTACTTTAAAACGCTCAACTGATTTGATTAATTATGTAAAAACTTATTATCCATTTGACTTTTTTATTTCAGTTTGTAAATTTTCTTAAATTTCCTTGACTCATGTTGACTTTTTTAAACGCTATTTCCTGAGGGGGTGGATAATGATAACCCGACCAATTTGTACATATAAAGGGTTGAAATCCCAATTTCTTTTATATATTTTGATTTTACTCAGTTTAATATGAGAGCAAATATAATCACTCACTTATTGATGCCGTATAATATCCGAAATTAAAGAAAGATACATAAAATGTTCGTTGTTTCATCATGAATACCAAAAAATTTAAACAATTATAACTTGTTGATAACTGTACCATTTTTAACGAAATTACAAATGTTGAGAGATAAGAATAAAAGAAATAATAAAAAAAAATATATAAATTTTCTGGCGAGTTTTAATCTGTATTTAAATTTATGATCCTCAAATGATTGCAAAAATATAAAATTGTATTTAAATTTATCAATAATACTATACTTACAAAGAAATCTTTCAAAAATTTCTATACAAATTAAGGTGACAGAAAATAAATGAAAGAGTGAAACAAAAAGTCAAACTCATTATATTCATCATTCCATTCATTTTTTACTATATCACTTTCTATGAAGATCTTTGTAAGATTTATTTGTAAGTGTAGTGTTACTCTAAATTTATATCATCTTGGGAAGAAGGTATTTGTTTTCCTCTTCATGTCTGAGGTAGTGTGTTTTCAGGTCATTTTATCAACGAACAACATGAGATATTAACTTCTCTTTGCAATTGTAGTTGGTAGCTTTTAAGTTGGACAAACGTTTGGTAATTATAAGCTATTACTAACATCTAAGAGAATTTGTAGGAGTTTAGAGTAGTTATCTTTATAGCAATAATAACCTCACGTTTAATTTATTATAATACAGATACTTATGTTTATTCTATTATTGAGCATTGTCGTCCTTAATATCAATAATTGATGAACAAATAAGGGATCTTTCCTATAAGTACGTTGTTGGAAAGAGTAAGGTTCATCAAGTTTGTCAAGTTGCTAAGCTGTTTCGGAATCGAACCCCAAAGAAGATTGTCATTCAAGTGAAGAGTTTTAAGCAGCTTCAAAGTCAACATTTCCATCTATAGCTATTGTCTATAATCAAGGGATTGCCTAGAAACATGGGATTGGGTTTTGATAAAAGATACAACATGATTTGAGGAGGATCTTGCAGATCCTTCTATATCCGTAATACCCCCCCGCAAGCCTAGTGTCTCGAAATCAGAGATGCGAAGCTTGGAATCTAAAAAAATGAAGGCAGGTCGGCTGAGACTTTTGGTGAACATGTCGGCAATTTGTAAGTGAGTGGGGACATAACGAATCTTGAGTTCTCTGGAGGCCACCAGTTCTCTCACAAAATGATAATCCAAATCAATGTGCTTAGAACGCTTATGCGAGACTAGATTGACAACGAGAAAAATGGAGCTCAAAGCATCACCGGAGGAGATGGAGAAGACACATGAAGATCCCGAAGAAGATGCCGCAGCCACTTAACCTCAGTGGCAGTGAGGGCCAATGCCTGATATTTAGATTCACAGCTGGATTGGGAAACCG